TATCTCCTCTCATTACTCCTTCAACAAATAATATTATCTCTTCTGTATCAATTCTAATGCCTGATTGGGAAGTTTTCGTTATTGTCTCTCCTGATTATACTCCTTTAATTTTCACTCAAGAGGATCCTTATGTTTGTGTATTTAATACTGGGGAGGTATCTCCGACGATTCCCGCCGGAGAGCTTCGGTTTCCAGCTCGCAATTTATTCAAGTGCGAGTTTCCCAGGAGAGCACGTCGGAGATTGCCGTTTAAACAACCCATGCTGATGAAATCTTCCCAAAAGAAGAATAATGTAACGCCGTTTAAACAGCCGGAGCTGTTACGTTGGACGTTTCTTGTTTATGACTCTCTAACGACGGACGACGACGTCGTTTTGTTCGTTAAAGGGTTGAATAATCGCCAAGGAATTAACCGTGAACCCAACGAATTTAACTGTATTTTCGGTCGTGGCAATAATGTAATTAGAACCAACGTGACGAGTTCCATGCAAGAAGTTTTCCGTTGTAAACGGCCAGACCCAAATGTTTTGTCCTTTGAAGAGAGAATTACTGTCTCCCTTGAGATTGTACGTCCTATTCCAGTGGTGGTACCTTCCGTGGCTTATTACACCCCGCCACGAAAGCTAGAAAATAATGAGAAGACAGCCAGAGCTCGACTTTGTGCATGTACCATGGTGTACAACGTTGGCAAGTTTTTGAAAGAATGGGTTTTATATCATTCAAGAATCGGGGTTGAAAAATTCTCATTATACGATAATGGTAGTGATGACGATTTACCAAAAGTTGTTGATGAGCTTGTTCAAGAAGGCTATGATGTGAAAACATATTTTTGGCTTTGGCCTAAAACTCAAGAAGCTGGTTTTTCTCATAGTGCCATTTATGCTAAGGACTCTTGTTCTTGGATGATGTACATTGATGTGGATGAATTTGTGTATTCTCAACTATGGTCTAATTTATCCCGACCATTAAAATCATTGTTACCTTCTTTGTTACCAAATCCGAGAAATTTACAAGAGCCAATTTCAGATAAGAAACAGGTCGCAGAAATTAGCATCCCCTGTTATGAATTTGGACCGTCGAACAAGAGGTCTCATCCGATAATGGGAGTAACACAAGGATACAATTGTAGAAGAAAAATGGAGAATAGACACAAGTCTATAGTATTTTTGGATGCAGTTGATCACTCTTTGCTTAATGTTATTCATCATTTCATATTAAAGCAAGGGTACAAGGGAAAGAAAATGAATGTACATGATATGGTAGTGAATCATTATAAGTTCCAAGCTTGGCCTGAATTTAAGGCTAAGTTTAGAAGAAGGGTGTCAGCTTATGTTATTGATTGGACACAAGAATTAAATCCACATTCGAATGATCGAACTCCAGGATTAGGATTTAGTCCTGTTGAACCCAAAAGTTGGCCACAAAAGTTTTGCGAGGTATATGATAATGGTTTGAAAGATTTGACATGGAGATGGTTTGCAATCAAGTCTCCAACTCCATCACGTTACCGTATGGCATGGCAAAGATGACCAGGTTGCTCAGATCCTCAAAAAATGCGTAGCTTTTTAAGGATTTAGAATGCTCATGGCAAGATATATTTGGAGGATCCGAGCAATATAGGTTGGGATACTATATATGCTTGGGCCTAAACCATTAAAGGAAAAGGTCAAGCGGATTTTGCTTTCAGAATTATATTACTGTAGATTATGACATGCAGCAAACTGAATTTTTGCTACATTGATTGAGACAATTGAGGATTGATACATTAAACACAGAGGAAAGAATGTACCTGCAGCTCTACTGCCTGAAGTGATTGAGAAGCTTAGAGGAAACTGTTTTGTTTTAGCTAGAATTTTGACTGATTATTTTGTTTGTTTTCTTTTTAGTTTCTTTATTATCACATAATTAATGTTCTTTTGATTCATTTATGTATAAACATGCTGATTGTTGTTTTGCTAGTTGCATGCAGCCTGTGGGATAGATAAGATAGGCAGATTTGCTCTTTAAATTCTTTGTTTTATTTAATGCTTTATCATTATTAATTCTTGTTTCTGCTAATTATTCCTCCCCAAGCGCCTGTAGTTAACCTTGTTCCATTCGAAATTAACTTGAGATATTACTGCGTTTATTACCGGAGATCTTTACCAGTGCAATATATCATCCTTGTTTCAATTTTAGGTGGCGCAGTTTGAATGAGCACAAAGTTTATAACAGAGAGAAAGACTTTTGTAACTCGTAATTTTGAATATGTCATGAGATTCTATGGCTATAAAAATATACAATTAACAGTAAAATGAAAAGTTTAAAATTAAATGTTTTCAAATAAAAAAATATGAAATTCTTTTCGGAACGATTAATTATAAAATAGTGCCAAGTGAAATGAAAAGGAGTATTAACATGATGGAGGGCAAGAAAATTGAAACATCCAGGTTTGATCTAGAATTAAGGTACATCAATTAGTGCTGGTAAGTGTTTTTGTGTAATGATTAATTAGATCGTGCTAGTTTCAGTCCATATCTGTTGAGAAAGGTATAACTTGAGGGCTATGTGTATGCGTTGTCATATAATTCCTTTATTCTAGATCTGTACCAACTGCTAATTGACTCAAAGTATCAAATAGCACGTTGATGTATAATTTAGTTTATTGGGACAGTAATACATCGATTTGGTTGTTATGCTGATATAAATATTTTTAATGGCTAGAAAACTGCTAATTAGGAAGCTGACAAATATTTTACAATATCATGTGGATTTTGTGAAGAATAAGGCAACGATATTTCTTATCAAGATCAAAGATGAACATGAATTATTGGAATATATTTATAAAATTCAAAAAATAAGCTGGGTTAACTTTATACAATCGCCACTACTAAAAATCACCTGTTTACCGATGCAAATTACCGAGGGACGTCCCTTGGTAACAAGGCTTTTCCGAAGAAAGTCCGTCGATAAATGGTAGGTAAATCTTTCCTCGGTAAAAGTGACCGACATAATCCCTCGGTAATTACCGATTGGACCCCATCGGAAAGCCATCGATACTTTTCTGACACTATTTGGTCAAAAATTTTTACTTACCGACGGATATTCGTCGGTATATTATAAAATAAAATAATATCAATACTGACAAATATTCGTCGGTAAATTAAAAATAATAATTTAATATTACCGACGGATACCATCGGTATATTTAGAATTTTAATTTAGTAATTTAAAAATTTAAAATATGAATAAATTCATATTTCGATTGATATCCGGGTATGTTCAACAAAATTTGAAAATTTGTTTTAAGTATACCTACGGACTCCCTCGGTATGTATGAATTCTGGATTGACAAATAAATAATTTTTCCGACGGACTCTGTCGGTAAGTCCCTCGGTAAATCTGGTATATATTTGGCAAGCAGTGCTTATTTTTTGCTGCACCACCTACCAGCCAGAATATTACAATAGAAACAGAAATGAAACCATAATAAAACACAAATTCACAACAATAAAACTTTATAAACTATCCAAACATCCAAATTATCCTATCAAACATCAAAACTATCCAACCAAAATTCAAAATGTCATATTCAAAGTCATCGTCCAACTAAACAACAATATAACCAAACTTAAAATCACTCCTCATCTTCGGATTCCCCCTTTATCTTCTTCATCATTTATATTGTTTCCATCATTTTCATCCTCTTCATAAATGTGGCTTTTTGGCGGAGAGCGGGGAAGGCCGATTAAGTGGTTCACTTGAGCTTTGAGGGACTTGATGTCATTCCTAAGTGCGGTCCTAATCTTCTCTTCATGCATTCTTTTTTGTCGTTCATCCGCATAGTTCCTAAAAAGTTGTTGAATCGTTCGCCGCATCTCCTCAAGGTCCTCACTTTGCACGATGGCGGATGTCTCAATACCTTGTAATCCACAAAAGAGAAGTGAAAAAAATACACGAAGAGTTAGAATGGAATAATTCAGCACCTAACTTCATAAAAAGTAACTAGAAAAAGTTCTCCAACAAATAAACTCTTTAAGCTTTTGCACTTTGCCTCTATCACCAAAAGAAGTGCATCATTAGAATAAAATTTTGGATTTTTTCGAAAATGAATCACAAGTTCCAACTATATAATATCCTAAGTTAATCTTGATCTTACATAAGTCTCCTTAGCCCGTGGCTCAACTCAAGCTTCTTCCCCGACTTTGCTTTTTGTGTGGGTCTTCTTCCAAACCTTATCACGTTTCGTGGTCTCTTAAGAGTAGCTTCCTGCAAATGAAATAAAAAGAGTTAATAAATTCAAGTAATGTTAGAAAAAATCAAGAGTGAGATCTTTAAATAATTACCAATCTCCTCTTAATTCATTTTGGATAACATGAATTAAAACGAAAAGTCTTTAAAAAATCATAAAGGAGCATGCCAAGAAATCACGTGTATGTGCATACATATGCCTAATCTCAACAAAGAGATCAACTTTTAAACAGAGGCTTCATAAAAGGCCTAACTAGGGTTCCATTTTTCTCTAATACAGAAGCATCAACTTTTAAGACTACTGTTAGAAAGAAACAAAATTTTAAGACTTGGAAAAAAGGCTCCCAATTAATTTTTCAAATCAACACATATTCAATTTCATCATGAAGCTCAAAGCTCTTATTTTTGCGGAGTCGTTTAGCACATTGGAACAAATTTAATGACCCCCAAAACCTTCCCAAAACAATCCCTAAACACACCTGAAATTCTGCCTCAAATTTTAGTAAAACAACGCCCAAAACACAACTGAAAAAAAGCTTCAAAACATCCTAAAACGACCACCCAAAAACTACCTCAAACTACCCCCAAATCCATCTCTCTTACACCTTAAAACAACCCCAAACCACCCACAAAAGTAAACTGAAACGGCTCCAAAGCAGCCCCAGAAACTCCGCTAACAATCCAAAGTCAACCATGAAAAATCCATTAATATTACTCTCAAATTTAGAACAAATCACAAGCTAATGATATCACTAACATATCTTAGGCTTACACTTTACTTAGTGTAATTTTCAATGAATTAGCTAATTAATTATTAATATTAATTAACGATGCCACTAATATATTTCTACTTACTTTAGTTATCAATTTAAGATAATTAAATAATCACTAAGATTTTTTACGTATATCATTAATAAACTTTTACTTAGTGTATAATTAACAATGTATAGGCTAGTGAATCACTAACATTACTTAAGGATATATCCTTAGTATGTACACTTCTACTTAGTGTAATTATCAATATCTATAAGCTAATTGTAACTATTACACTTCTATACATCATGTAATTATCAATAAATTGCCTAATAAATTATTAATATTAATTAACGATACTGCTAATATATTTTTACTTACTTTAGTTATCAATTTAAGATAATCAGACAATCACCAACATTTGTCACGTATACTATTAATAAACTTCTACCTAGTATATAATTATCAATGTATAGGCTAGCGAATCACTAACATTACTTAAGGATATATTCTTAGTATATTTTTACTTAGTGTAATTATCAATCTATAAGCTAATTATAACTATTATACTTTTACTTAGCGTAATTATCAATATATAGGCTAATCAATTATTAACATTACTTAACGATACAACTAATAAACCTCTACTTATTTTAATTATCAATTTAAAGATAAACAATCACTAACATTTCTCACAAATAGCATTAATACACTTCCATTTAGTGTATAATTATCAATGTATAGGTTAATCAATCACTAACGTTATTTATATAAGGATGCCACTAGTTCATTAATACTTAGTGCTATTATAAATGTATATAGGCTAATCAATCACCAACATTATTTACAGATATATTATTAATACACTTATACTTCATGTAATTATCAATTTACAAGCTATATACAACTAATACACTTTTACTTAGTATATTATCAATGTGTGTGATAATCAATTATTAACGTTACTTAAGGACACCATTAATACACTTCTACTTACAGTAATTATCAATTTATAAGATAAACTATCACTAATATTTTTTATGGAAATGACTAATACACTTCTTCTTAGTGTGTAATTATTAATGTATAGATTAATCAATGTAGTTAAGGATACTACAAATTTACTTTTACTTTGTGTAATTATAAGTTACTAAGCTAATTACCACTAATATATTTTTAAGTAGTATAATTACCATGAATACAGTTTCACTTAGTGTAATTTTCAATAAATAGGCTAATCAACCACTAAGATAATTAAATAATTACTTACCGAGGGACTTACCAACGACCTCCCTCGCTATTGTGTAATAAAAAATACAAAATAATTATGTATAAGATAATATATTTAAATTACCTACGGAAAACCATCGGTACTGTAAAAATATAATTCAAAATATTATGTAAATGCAATAGCGATTGAGTCTGTCGATAACTTTATTTCTTTTTTATTTATTTTTTTTAAGTGCACCGAGAGACACCGTCGGTACATAAAAAAATAATTCAAAAATATAAATACAAAATGTTGCGAGTGAGTCTGTTGGTAAATTACCAACGGAGTGCATCGGTACAACTAATTAAATTTTGACTGGTCAAAGTATCATTATTTACCGAGAGTTGTCCGTCGGTAATTTTAAAAAAATAAATAAATTAAAAAGTTCAAAAGTACCGAGGGACTCCGACGGAAAATCCCTTGGAATAGCGATGGAAAAAAGTCAGTCGGTACTGCTGCATCGGTAAACCGTTGTTTTTTAGTAGTGTGATGAATTAAATATGAATTAAGAGAGCTTATCAAGCTTATCCTTAATCCATATTTAGGGCGACCAAATTTAGTAACTCTTTGGATATGATTTGATCGATTGCGGTAACGTGCACTTGCATTATTCTAGATGTTATAGTATTAACTATCTTAGCATGGACTAGATTTTATATATGCTAAAGAGACAAAAGTGAGATGCCTAATCAACTATAATACAAGTTTATTGAAACGATAAAAGCTATGCCAGTTGCTCAGTTATACACTCGTATCAAACGAAAAAACCTAATTAATCACAAATACAACATAAAAGATGACTAATTACCCATATTGAGTAACATTAAAAACTGCAACGAATTTCACATATTTTGATGGGAATTGAATGCATTTTTTGTCTTTGGGCGTCAACTAAACCATTAGACTTATTGGCTCTAGCGTGTAAATTCTATAGTAATTTTTTAACGTATATTTTCAGGAAACCAAAGGATGCACTACATAAAACTAGTGGCCTAAAAACAAATTTTAGTAAGACACCTTTGTTTAGCATAAAAATAGTTTATATTAAATGTTCGAATAGTAACGTGACACGTGGAACTGAAAATAAGTAGAAAGTAAATTAAATAACAACTCGTACCAGGAACAACAACTGTAGTTGGTATCGGATAAACTCCGAAGGGAGCATGATCAACACGAGCAGGTCGAATGTTTGCCATCAGGTAGCATTCAATGAAGAATATTCCCTCACATTAAATGGGCAGCCGTTATAGAGAATATTTGCATTCATGGCTTGCCGTTACATATTCATCCATGACCCCTTTATTGTCATTTAAGAGGGGCTTGATCCTAGGACATTATTGTTTCCCTAGGTATAGCTACAAATAATAAGCTCGATAACCATTGTAAGACACAAAATTGTTGGCAAAACATAGGTTATATTCCATTCTCAAGCTCAATAAAATAACTTTATTTGCTCTTTACATTGTTCTTATTTCTGTCCTCGGAGGCATTGCTCTTAGAGCCAAGCTTATCATTTACTTTGATTTTAACCGCTTATAAGTCTTATTTTTAATCTTGTTTATTTATCATTTTTGGAACAAATCGGTTTGCTTGTCTATAAACCACGTAACAAATTCAACTGTAGTATTTTACGGGTAAATAGTTTGGTGCCCACCGTGGGGCTTAGACAGTTGCGTAATTGAGTTGATCCTTACGTTTATTACTAACTTGTTTGATTATTTGTTCCTTAGCAAAAAAAATCAATAATGATAGCTAATGATGTCAACATCGCAGACACCGTTGAGGGAAATGAAAATCTATCTCAATATGAGGATTTAATCAGCGACACCTGCAACGGGGGGATGAGGCAACCCCTGGTTCGTGGAGGACAGTACCCCCGATATGTACGGGAGCCAACTCACGATGACGCGAAAGATAAACATGTTGCGAAAATAGTAAGGATCTTAAGAGAGGAACAAAAATCCATCATGGGCCACCTCTCAAGGCAGGATCAGATCATGACGGAATTGAAGCAAGCGTTGTCAAGCGCTTCCAACAATGCAAACGGAAGGGTCCTGGCTCCTCCCGGCGTTCCTATAAATCAGACGGCTCAAAGAGTTAATAACAATACACCGAGGGGTGATGTCGGCTTCGACAGTGCCGGGGGGACCGGTAGCAGATCCGGTAATGATAATGGTAATGATCCCTTCAAAACCGAGCTCATGATATTCATGAGGGAGATGAACGAGCAGATGGATCAGAATGCGAATGAGTTTCATGCCTAAATGGATCAGATTTCGGGCGCACCACCAGTTTTGAAGGGCCCAGATTTGAAAAAATATACTCAGTTGCCATTTAAACCAAGCTCAACACTAGAGTTTATTCTGAAGAGGTTCAAAATGCCGGACATACCAAAATATGATAGGACTTCGGACCCTCAAGAGCACATCACAACTTATACAACAATTGTGAAAGGGAACGATTTGTCTCAAACATGAGATCGAATCGGTTCTACTGAAAACGTTTGGAGAAACCCTCACGAAGGGGGCCTTGACATGATATTCTCTTTTATCTGAACATTCAATTGACTCTTTTGAGATGCTTGCACATTCCTTCATAAAGGCCTACACCGGGGCCAAAAATGTCCAAACTAGGAAGGCGGACATATTCAGGATCGCACAAGCTGAGTCCGAATTATTGCGAAAATTCGTGATCAGATTCCAGAAAGAGAGGATGCTGCTACTGGCAGTACCAGACGAATGGGTAGCGGAGGCATTTACAAAGGGTTTGAATCCGAGAAGCTCCGACGCCTCCCGAAAGCTGAAGGAAAACCCGCTTGAATTCCAAGCAACCACGTGGGAGGATGTTCATAACCGCTATGAGTCAAAAATAAGGATAGAAGATGATCAGCTCGGCTTCCCGATATAAACCAAGGGGCGGGACCGAGACAAGAACTAGATAAGTTCAAAAGTGATTTTGATGCAGACTCGCGATCTTCTAAAGTACATTTCTTGCCTTACGAGAGAGCCGAGGGATGCGGCAGCAAAGGGTTCTGGTCCCCATATAGGTTCGCTCCCGACAGAAGAACTGACTGTGGCCGGAACAACAAATCATTGTAAGAAAATGAGGTACTGGGGACCTGGGATTCCACATATACCAGGTTGTAAGATTACAATTTCAACATCAGCATAGTGGAGTTGGTATCAGCGATGAGGAATATCAAAGAAGCACGATTCCTAAAGACAATCAGATCCGATCCCAGCCAGATGGATCCTAACTTATGGTGCAAATATCATGAGACTCACGGCCACCGAACTAGGGATTGCCGGCATCTACGCAAGGAGGTAGCAACGTTGTTGAAAAAAGTTCATCTCAGGGAGTTCATGAGCGACCGAACCAAGAATAATTATGGCCACAACCGGGGCAACTCTGAACCCTCGAAGATAGGAGAAGACCCTCCTCGGTTGACTATCAACATGATTTTTAGAGGAAATGAAATCAATGGTGTAACCTTCTCAGCGGCCAAGAAAACAAAGGTATCATTTACCCACAACAAGAGAATCCGGGAAGTCGCCGAAGACGACATCACTTTCACGATAGAAGACGCTGACAGACTTCTTCTGCAGCATAACGACGCCCTAGTAATCTCTCTTAATATCCTAGATTTCAAGATTAAGCGTGTTTTGATGGACCTAGGAAGCTCAACCAACATCATTCAATGGAGAGTGCTGGAACAAGCAAAATTAACCGGAAGTATCATTCCGGCAGCAAAGCTCCTCGCCTGGTTCAACTTGGCAAGTGTGACGACCCGAGGAGAGATTCTGCTGCCCACGAACACTGAAGGGGTAACAAAGACCACCTTATTTGAAGTGGTGGACGACGACATGGGCTATAACATAATCCTCGGAAGGCCATGGTTACATGAGATTAAGGACTTACCATCAACATATCACCAACTATTGAAATTACCAACCATAGAGGGAATCAAGCAGATAACAAGAAATCATACCCAAGCCCGTTGGCCCGATGTTTAGGAGCCTCGGAGGTGGACTGCGTAATGAGAGAGGTCCATGAAAGAATTTCCGAGAACTATTCCAGTGCAGATTCATTGGTACTAAAGTTGGTTAGGGCAGGATACTACTGGCCCATAATGGAACATAAACGCAAAGACGTTCATTCAAAAATGCGACAAGTGTCAGCGCCATGCACAGTTGGTGCACCAACTGGCGGAACTCATGCATTCGGTACTGTCCCTATGGCCATTCATGAAATAGAGGATAGATATAGTTGGTCTGCTACCACAGTGTCCCAGAAAGGTAAGATTCCTTTTAATTTAACCGATTACTTCACTAAATGGGCTGAAGTAGGTCCTTACTAAAGAACGGCGAGCACAAAGTGATCGACTTCTTGTGGGAACACATAATCTGTCGATTCGAAATACCAAAGTAAATTACCTGCGATAACGGACCACAGTTTATAGGCTCCAAAGTCAGTCACAAAATTTCTCGAAGATCTGAAAATCAAGAGAATTATATATTCACCATACCATCCGAGCGCTAATGGACATGCGGAGTCAACCAATAAGGTGATTATCCAAAACCTCAAAAAGAGTTCAGAATGTGCTAAAGGCAAGTGGCCCGAAAAATTACCAGGCGTGCTATGAGCATACTGGAAGACGACAAAATCAAGCACGTAAGAGACACCTTTCTCTCTCGTATACGACGTGGAAGCTCTGATCCCGATGGAAGTACAACAACCAACCTTAAGGTTCTCCAGAACAAATGAAGAAGAGAATAATGAGGCATTACTGGTGAAGCTGGATCTGCTCGATGAATGCAGAAACTTGGCACACGTAAGGATGGTGGCTCAGAAGCAAATGATGGAAAGATACTATAATCGGAGGGCCAATCTCCATTACTTCAAACTAGGAGACTTGGTTTTGAGGAAAGTGACTTAGAGTACTCGGGAAATCAACACTAGGAAGCTGGGTCTGACGTGGGAAGGTCCCTACCGGGTTTTGGTTGTCACCGGTAAAGGATCATTTGAGCTAGAAAATAAGGATGGAGCTAAATTGCCTAGCAATTGGAACATGACACACCTCAAAAGGTATTACTACTGATGGATCCTACCTATACTGAAAGTATGTGCTGCACTCTTTTTTCCTTCGGCTAGTTTTTGTCCCAATCGGGTTTTTCTGGCAGGGGTTTTAACGAGGCAGCAACGGAAAGCATACTACGAAGGAAGCATCATCGACAAAGTTAAGACCTTTAAATGATAAGGCATTGAAATGATAAACCACTACCGGATGGTTAAATAATCTTTGGCTTGTTGGAATGTTCCTAATGGAAAGTAAAGCTTGCCATCAAACCAAAAACTATTCAGCCGTTCACAAATGTTTCAACAAACGAAGCAAAACTTCCAGTGTTACAATTCACATACTTCGCATTTGAATACTGGGGGGGGGGGGGGATATTATTGGATACGGCAGCAAGGATGCCACGAAAATCGGGACTACGAGATCGGAGAACAATAATGTCTCATTGGGACCAAGGACTGCATGGCCAACCTCGTATAAACAAGTTGTACAAGTTAACCACATGTATTGGCAATTTCTCTTTTTTTTAGCAATTGAATGCTTATGTACTCTTAAAGATAGAAGGAATAAAATAAATTCCTTTTATTTTTATCTTGTTTCTTGTCCAAACGATGAGTTAATTTTATCATTTGAAAGTTAATAGAAAAACTTCAAATGCTTGTTTCGGAATGAACATTAGACGTCCTCTTCAAGAGCACTGTAAACATAAGAGGGCCCTCTCTTATGAAACCATCATAGTAAAGGGTTGTTTCCAGAAAAGTTTATGCCCGGAACATGAAGTTATCAGACAAAAATACACCCGAAGCCTTATCTAATTCAACGGAAAAAGAATAAACTTTGCGCAATACTTAAGTAAAAATCTTCTTTATTTATCAAAATGCCAAACGACATAAATACAAAAGTACAAAGGTAAAAAACAAAAAAAAGAAGGAAAAATCTAAACATTATCGCCGCTGGAACTCGAGGGGAGAGAGGTGGATCAATCACCGGTTTGGGACCTGGGCCTCCATCATCATTCTCTTCAAGTTCCTCCTCGGTTCCCGAATATTCGAAACCGGTGCTCGAAGAGTCAGTTGTGTTAGGCTGAGCCGGGAGACGTTCTCAAGCGGTTAATTTCGGTGCTCGGGCCTTGGCGATGCAATCATCAATATCAATGATGCTCGCTTTGGACTCCTCCAAGTTTTTTCTCCTCATAAAATACATAGCGTACGTATTTTCAAATACGAGGGAATTCCCTTGGTGTTGTGAGATTTGCCTTAGGTCTGTCAACCTCGGCCTGAAGACCATCCCTCTCAGATCTCGTGGCGACGAGGCTAGAATATAGATCACAGATTGTAGAAAGGTGAAGCATGTTTTTCTCCATGATATTCTTTAATCTTCCTCCATCCCGACCCTCTTTTCCTCGGCGGAATTAGCCTCCTCGGATTTGTAGCTCAAGGCTGCCTCCAAGTTATTCACCTGTTCAACGGAGGCAGACTCGCGCTCGGTAGCAGTAAGAACAACATGTTGAAGCTCATCCCACTTAGCCTTAGAATCTTGGAGATGTGCATGTAACTGAGTGGCTTCTTGCCTATAGGCTATCCCTTCTTGCTCACTTTGCTGCAACTGGGCCTCAAGCTCGCCCACTGCAGTAGCCTTTGCCTTCAGCACTAGGAGGCGTGCAATAAGTTGATTCCTTTCGGCTAACAGCTGATCCCATTCGCAGACAAGTCCTTATTTATTGAGAATCAATCTCCGAAGGCCTTCGAAAGCAAGGAAGTTGGCCTACAAAAAGTATATCGAAGGTAGAAACCCCATTACAATAGATAAGTAAAAAACAAGCAATAAGAGAGCAAGTATGATAACACTGCCGCATTATGCATTGCATTATTCAATAGGCACTCCCCCAAAAAAGAGAGTATTTTCTTCTTATCCATCTATGAAGCCAACAACTTCAGGTAGTTGGTAAGCTCCACTGGCCTGGACAGCAGATGACACCCCTTCAAAACCAAAAGAGTGGCACTCCTCCCCCTAGAGGATCTGGAGAAAGGGTGAATAATTGTGCCCTAAATTCCCGTGGTCGAGAGACTGGGGAGGAGAAGCACCCTCCTCTCGGGCGTGTGTGGCCGGTGGAGGAGAAGTAGTGCTAATTATTGGTTGCTCATCGACCGAAGGAAGAAGAGGCCCGGGTTCCGACCTCCCGGGACTAGAAATAGCAATAGAGGTCACCTTTGGTTGGGGTTTTAAGCTCTCCCGGTTGAGCACTCGGTTGAGCTGATGAAAATCATTGCCTCCTTTGAAGGGAAGCCCATTCATCACTAGCTTCCCCGTCATATTCAATGACCATTGTGGCCACGGTGGCTCAGTTGTGGCCTTCTTTATTTTCTTACATTTATCCCCAGCCGAGGAAGAACGTCGCCTTTTTGGTTGCTTGTTCTCTGGCTGGGGACTCCGGGAGGAAGCACCCCCACCGGAAGCGGATCCGTGAGCATCGCTTCGAGCGAGAGCACTTAGTAATAATCTCGCGGCCTCCATGGGATCAACCAAAACATCAACCTCAGGGCAGGTGATAGAGCCCTACGGGAGTCCTGAATCAAGCAAAAGATATAGTTAGTGAATTTACTTATGTACATATAGAGGCAGACGAAAGAAGGACTCATTATACCGTGGTTCTTGGCCTTCCACCCATATTTGGGGGCCATCTACTTCCACCGACGAGTTTTTAGCATTGTAATTTCCATAATCTTCTAAACCCATTGGTCCAGGCCTTCAACCCTTGGTGGTGTCCACCGAGTAGCTGAAACAACGGAAACAAAAAGCCAACAATGACAGGGAATAGTCTCTTTACGAAGGAAAAAGATGAATAAATTACAAACTTACATGAACGATTCCATGATTCGGGAAAGATGGAGTTGTGGCCGGGATGATATCCCTGGTAGCAACGATGACAAACTACTCCATCCATCCACGATCACTGTCATCATCCACGCTGGTGAGAAGGGCGTGGTGGCCGCATTTGCTGAAATTTATTACTCCCCCACGGAAGATTTTGGGGTAGTAGAGATTCATTATATGTGCCAGAGTTAGGGTTTTTCCCGTCTTCGTGCACAAATGGCATATACAAGCCACTGTTTACCATATAGAAGGGCTTACTTATGCTAAGTAGACCTGGTACCGGTGGCAGAACTCCAAGTTCACGGGGTCGAGTCCTCCGTTCAAAGAAAACAGACCCAAGGTGAAGGGATACATATAGACATACGTAAAACCTTCCTTGGTGAAGATAACCCGCTCTATCAAATACGGAGCAAGGATATTAAGGTCTGTGCAGTTTCAGTCCTGCATCACAGTAGGAATACTAGAAGGGCGAATAGAGGAGGGATACCTGCTAACGGCCCAAGTCTGTGAAGACACAGAGGGGAACTTCTCTTGGAAGTCATTGATGATACTTAGGTGCTTGTGTTTAATGGTGCTCACCGTGGGAGAATCATCATCAATATCAATCTCTTTGTCTTTGTTTCTCTTCGGGACTCCACCGAAGAGAAGACCATAGTTTTTGAAAGTCAGTAAAAGAAGTCATGGTAGTAAAAAGATAGTGAAGATTTTTGAAGAAAGTCAGAAAAAGATGAAAGCAGAAGGAGGTTACGTGCAAAGAAGATGATGAACTTATGAAAGTTTTGGAAGTGAAAGAAGTAAAATTATGAGTTTAAATAAAGATATAGACGACGAAAATTGTGATCATGATTACCTCGAGAACCGGCAAAAATATTGCTAAATCGTGGGGTAACATGTGTTCATGGTATTAAATGCGAGAAGACGTGCGTCCTTTCAAGCGTTAGAGACTGTTCAGAAGATTTCTCGCCATGAAAGGGATCTTCACTAACTTCCAGGTGACACAACGATATGCCATCGGAAAGCAGGGGGACTATCTATATAGGGTAAAAATGGTTTTTATTTAATGAT